TGGAGTCTTCTTGGCAGTGCCGACACCCTTACCCAGAGAGCTAATGATGGATCTTCAAAGTCCTATCAACCAGACAAGTGCAATATAAATTTCAGTTCCAGTGGATAACTGAACCTGGATGGTTGAGAATCTCCCTAGACCAAGGCTCTTCAAACTTGGCAAGTTGAAGACTTGTGGACTTCAACTCCCAGAATTCCTGAGCTGACATGACCGGAGGAGGAATTCTGGGAGTTGAAGGCCACAACTCTTAAAGCTGTCAAGTTTGAAGACCTCTGCTTTAGACTTCTGACAACAGCCAACCAAACATGGCAGCTTTAAGACTTGTAGACTTCAACTCCCAGAATTCCTGAGCTAATATGACTGGAGGAGGAATTCTGGAAGTCCACAAGTCTTAAAGCTGTCAAGTTTGAAGACCCCTGCCCTAGACCCTTGAGAAGGTGCCTTCTGGAGAACATCTGGGGGCACAGTGGTTAAAGTGCCACAATAAAGTACGATTGCAGGCAACCTTTGCCTACAGCCTGGAGTTCGACCCTGACCGGCTCAAGGTTGAATCGACCTTCCATCCTTCCAAGGTCAGTAAAATGAGGACCCAGATTATTGGGATTTGCAAGATGCAAATAATTCTCTACATTGTAAACCACCCAGAGAGTGCTGTAAATCACCATGGGGTTGTATATAAGCCTAAATGCTATTGCTCTTTTTTTACATTTAGCTTTTTTTATTAGTTTATCAAAATATAAAATACAAAGAAAAAAAGCATGAAAAAGTAAGAAGCGGGGAGGGGGAGAAGAACGGGAGAGAAAAAGAAAAGAAAACTTTTAGCACAGTAGAAGGTATCAACATTACAACCACAACTTTTTGCTTTTACACAACAGTATGTACAAGACATTTCTATAACAATAAGCCTGTCTGGTTGACAAAAACAGAATGACAGTTTCATTCCCCACTCCCACCCTCTTTGTAAGCACAAAAACCAGAAGCAATTTCAAAATAGAGACAAAATTAAATATATTCTCTTCTTTGGATAAAGCCTAAATGCTATTGCTATTTCCATCCGCATTGGCCGAAGATCTAATCTATGTATATGGTGGCTTTTCTATGTAAACTTTTGCTTTTCAAAGGCCATAACACCACCCCAGAGATGGCATAGTAATATAGAAGGTGGGGGAGGGCCGCTTGGTTCCTTGCGCACAGCCACAAAAATCAACATCTAAGACAATGCCAGTATTCTTTGCCAAGAGGACAGGAGAAAAAAGAGAGATGAAATGTCAGGTGCATGAGAAAGCACACTCATCCCCTCTTGGGAGAAGACGTTGAGTGCCGAGTTATTAAAAAAAACAAAAAACCCGAGTCTTCAGCTCCCCAAATTTCTCTTCCTGAATTAGGGTTGACACCTGCTGTTCCTCAACAGGTTCCTTCCTTGTCTTTACAAATAGACCTTTCCATGCTTGGAAGAACTCTCTTCCTTTCCAATTTAATCAGTAGAGGCCACCGAGAGGCTTGTTCAATTTGCCTTTTGAGCAACGCTTCAGACCAGATTTTGCAGGTGTCACCTTAAATGACAGAGTACCAAATCCTTAAAGACAAAACCAAACTGTGGGGGGGGGGGGGGAGAAAGAACTTGGGAGATCAAAGCTGACATCCATCCATGCCTCCTCAACAGGACCTACATTTTGCATGAGAGGGCAAAGGAGCAGATGCGCCTTGTTGGCCTTCATTCAGCCTTATCTTTGAAGAACATCTAAAAAGAACTTGAGAGTATTTTGTGTGTGTGTGTGTGGTTTATTTGTTTTTAGAATGAGAACATTAGAGTCAACAAGCTGTCCATTTTCTATACCTGTAACTTCACTCAGAGGATGTGGTGGAATGTAGTCTGGATTCCCAAGAGGGTGGGTTTACACTCTGGAGGGCAAAGAGACGCCAAAGCTTAGAATGGCTGGTAGGCAGGAAGAAGATCAAAACACTCCTCGCTAGCAATTCCCAGAATATATCTGTAGTTACGCAAATCTACTTTAGTCCGGCAAGATCCTGTCTATAGATGAAGAACCATAAAGCAAACTGTTCTTAAATAACTCCATGCATTGTTCTTGTTTCTTGAGGCCTGACTGAGGGTGCATTCATTGGGGCATGATATTCAAATGTCTGTCATTCAGAGTTTTCAAATACATGAAGGGGGGAGGGGGAAAGGATACCTCTACAGATGCTGTGAGAATGATTTCCTGTCCATTCTTGGCCCCTCCCAGCACCTGCCACTTGTGACAGCTGTCCGCTGTCTGGTGCAGATATAACTGTTTGTACACAAGAAAATGATAGCAGGGCTTAGCGGAAACATGGTGATTCTTCCAAACTGATGTCTTTATTATTTCACAGCTATAGACAGAATCTTGCCAAACCGAAGCCTTCTATTATCTGCATCTACCCTATAATTTTGAGAACTATTATGGAGGAGCTGTCTTCATCCTCTTTCTCTCCCAGGTCAACATCTGGGCCGAGCCACCTTTTCCTCCTCTGGGATGCACCCCACTAGTTATCCAGCCTGCTACATTCCATCACATCTAAGGCTCCGCTAGGTTCCTCTCAAATATACACTCCTTTCTCGCCACGTGGCAGCTACCGCCTTGGTAGCAACAGGGGCCACAGAAAGGTTACCCTGAAGGGGATTTAGCTGTTGCTTGACTCTTTCACTTGATCCTGTCACCTTCTCTCCTTGCACACCTTTTCCCAACCCTAATTAATACACCCATGGAGAAGTGCATACTCTTTCAGTTTTTGCCAGTTTCCCTCGATGTACCTTATATATTAGACCACCCGCTCCAAGCCTGCATGAAGTCCCTCGCGGGAAGCTGAGCGGTTCATACCATCTCCCGTTCTTTCTCATTAATTCCTGCTCCACCTTCCGACATTTTGAATTTCCACCACAGCAGGTCCTGCCAAGGCTTCATTGGCTGCTTGATTTGCAGAATGGTTCAGAGCGGGATGTGATGGCCACACAAACAGCCCATCTACATGGTCCAGCTATCTCATTGTTGCGGAGATGCTGTGTGACGAGAATCACAAAGGAGACCGTGGGTGGGCTAGAAAGTTGGCTTGCCCCATTGAACCCAGGCTCCTGCCGGGCGTCACTAACACTTGTTAGAAAGACAGAAATGCTAGAAATGTCATAAGGAAAACTCCAAGTCATTTCTCTTCCTTCCCCCATATGGAAAATGAAACAGACATTATTCTGGAAAGCATCTTGGTCTGTGTTGTATAACAGGTCAAACATGGGAGCTGATGTCCAGTATTCAATAATATAAAACGTCCATAGTGGTTTGATATCTCCAGGAAAGGTACCGTATATAAATGGGCAGCAAGCCCCACACTCCCTTGCACTGATGGTGTTCCCTTGTTGGGTAATGAAATGTCTTGCAAACAAACGTCCCAGCTCAGAAAAGATCAAGATCTCCACAGTTCATCCCTGAGCTATAGATTGAAACTTCTGAAGATATTTCCAAGAAAACAGCATGGACTTATCGAGAAAGTCATCAGAGAGTCAAGCTTGGCTCAAAAGTACAAAAGTATCGATCAATTTGGGCACAATGGCTAGTTACTGTAATAACATAAAAGGGAATATTTTATTAGAAGTCGAGCTTGCATGCAGTTCCTAAGACTGAAAATATTGGCGAGTAGTATATTAGAGCCAGTATGACCGTTGACTGCGTTACCATTCAGGTATTTTGCAGGAAAGGATTGCATTTCCCATTTTTTTGTCCCTCTCCCCCCCCCCCATTGTTTTGTCAATTCTTTGCCGTTGAGCCGTTTGTCAAGCTGAAGGTTCCTCAGTCGAATGAATCTGAAATAGAATCTAAATCTGAAGGACTCCAGGCCAGAGGTTCTGACCAGTTCTGGAGAACCGGTAGCAGAAATTTTGAGTAGTTCAGAGAACCGGTCAATCCCACCTCTGACTGGCCCCGCCAACCCCATCTCTTCTCTGCCTCCCATTGAGTCCCATCTGATTGGCTGGGTCTTCTTTGGTTGGCCTGCAGAGGAGAACAGAGCTGGAAAGCAGGTCAGTTGGGATGGGGAGCAGAGGTGGTATTCAGCAGGTTCTGACCAGTTCTGGAGAACCAATAGTGGAAATTTTGAATAGTTCGAAGAACCAGCCAATCTCACCTCTGAATGGCCCTGCCTCCCTCTTATTCTCTGCCTCCCGAGTCCCAGCTAATCGGCTGGGTTTCTTTGGTTGCCCTGCCCAGGAGAACGGAGCTGGAAAGCAGGTTAGTGAGGTGGGGAGGGAATGGGGATTTTGTAGTATATCCTTCCCCGCCACGCCCACCAAGCCACGCCCACAGAACCAGTAGTTAAAAAAAAAAATTGAATCCCACCACTGCTCCAGGCCTTTAAAAAAAAAAAATTATTATTAATCCAAAGGATCTTTTCGCTTGCCATTTCTTGGCTGCAATTCCTGACAGTGTGGCTTTAAGGAGAGGGGGTCCCTGCCTCCCAGGGTGGGATGCTAGGGAGGTAGAAGCTGGCATTGCACGGTTGGCAGCCGAGGTGGGCAGCAGAAGGATGCCAGGACGCGTAGATCCCCTGCCGCCTGGCTTACCTCTCCGGGTAGAACCAGATTAAATCCACACCTGCGATCCTCCTTTTTATTTTTATTTTTAATTTTCGAGGGTTTGTTGTCAGGTATTTAGCCCTGTGCTTCCTGCCGTTGCCTGTAACGAGTGTAGGTGGGCACGAGAAGTGGTGTGTGCATGTGCATGCTGGAGAAGGGGGTCCTTTCAGTGGGAGAAGAAGTCGAGGCAGCATCCACCCACAGACTCCATGACGTGATTCAGATGTCAATACAGATTTTAAT